GGACTGATTATATACTTGAAATATTGCTTACTTATAATAATCAGATGGAGCACTCGGCAACAGGTTTAACTCCGAAAGAAGCAAGGAAAAAGGAGAACGAAATGAATGTTAAAGTTGGGGATGAATGCGAAAAAGAACAGAGTATATCCGGAGATAAGTAGAGGGGACGAAGTTAAGATATTTAGGAAAAGGAAACCAAATGAAAAAGAGCGTGTCAGTAATTGGAGCAGTAATAGATATACAGTAGAAAAAACTGATAAGAAATTGGGACAAAATTATTATTATATTGAGGGTTTAGATAGACCTTATCTGCGATTTGAGTTATTGAAGGTGTATTTTCGTTGCTTTGCGAGTAAGTTGCGTGTCGTTTTACGGGTAAAGTGTTTGTTGTTTTACGAGTGAGTTGTGTGTCGTTTTACACCAAGACATTCAATTAATTCTAACTGGAATGGCAAATTGTTCTTGTCAGAACCCTGAACCATTCCAGGTTGAACCCTAAATTATTCTAGTTAGAACAACAAACCATAAGTATAATAAGATTATATTTTCAAAAGAAGTTAGGGGAAAGAAAATATACAGTGAGATGATTATATTCTTGAAATATAACTTACTTATGATAATCACATGAAGCACTGGGCCACTGGTTTAACGCCGAAAGAAGCACGAACAGAGGAAAATAAGATGAAGGTTAAAATTAAGTTAGGGATGAACGCCAAACGAAATAGGGTATATCCAGAGGATGAGCTTTCACACTACTTTAGGGCAGGAAGTGAGAGGTAGAGGGAAGAACCGCTCGCCCCACTTTTGCCGCGTCCGTGCGAACATTTACGTCAGAAGCGCCTCCGCTTTGCGGGCTGGCTTTTCAGTTCTTCTACTTCTTCTTCTTCCTCGCTCGCACGGGAAGAAAGCTCGGCTGTGGCCCAAATACGTGAAAGCACATATGGACGGATTTCCTTAGCCTCTTTGAGAAAACAGCGGTATCTACCTGCCAAGACCCGCCTGTATGGCCGATAAGCTGGTTTCAAGTCTCCGATTCTAATTGCGGGCGTGATTTTTCCGAACTTGTTGTCGAATGACCACTGTATCGTCTGCTCCTCTTGCATGTGCCAGCCAGAATCTTTCAAACAAACAATAGCCCAGTCAGCGGAGTCCAGAAGCGGCGGCAGAAGTGCTATTCGAAAGCAATCAAGCATTGAGTGGCATGACCCTGCGAACCCGTGGCACAAACGAATGGTATTGCGCACGCCATCGAACTCGAAGTCGGTGGAATATCGCCGACCTTTTGGAGACTTTGCAAAACCCTTCTGCTTCGTTGCGAGGTGGGCCACGCTCAAGCCTTCGTCCAAACCACAGAAGGCACAACAACGGTATGTGTCTCGACAGAGTTGCTTAGTGTCAGGGGACAACTCCTGGGCGCCCTCTCCATGGCTTGACCTTACTGCGGACGTGTCAGCGGACAAGTGCTTTTCGAGTTCTTTCAACCTCTGCCTCAGCTCCTCCATCTCCTGAATGCGCATGCAATCGCTTGAATGACGCAAATCAAGACCCACAATTGAACCTTTTAAGCCCCCAAAACACCGAAAACCCTAAACCCCAAAGCACCGACGCCACCTAACGACCCAAAGCAAAGACCCTAGCAAGGAACAAACACCTAGGGCGAAAAACCTAAAGGGGACAACTATTGTGAATGAGCGGGGTGGGGAAACCTAGAACCCTGAAGCCCTAAACCCCTTTTCGGCGATGTTTCTTGCCTCTGGTTGCGACTTTGACTGTAAAAGCATCTTTTGGGCGAACTCTTTGTCTTTCTCTGCGCTCTCCCTGCTCTTCGCTGCGCTCTCGACGCTCTTCTCCAGGAACCGAATGAGGTCGTTGTCCCGGTGCTGTGCATTGAATGCGGTCTCCAACTTTTGCTCTTTCTCGTCAAGAACTTTCTTCGCCTCTGCATAATCTTCCTCTGCCTTTTTCAGCTTGGCTTCAGCATCTGAACCATCCACCCGTGCTCTTTCGGCAAGAGGCTCACCGGAGGAGGTTGCCATGGCGCGCGGAATGAGAAGAACTTCTTGACTACAAGTGTGGTTTCCATAGAGCCAGTGGAATTGCTGATGTTGAAACGTTCTGTGCTACTGCGTTCGCCCTGCTAGTCTTGAGCTCGCGCACGGTCTTGAAGGCGCGGAATTCGTTGAACCTACCTATGCCCATTTAGATTGTCCTTTCTAAGGGTTTCGGGAGAAGGGGTGGGATAGTCTGTTGGGGGTATAGGACAACCTAAATTCTACGAGGATGACCTTGCCTATTTTCAAAGGTTGGAGTTTGGGGTGTGAAGGTTGAGGTTTTGGGGAGTTGGAGGTTTTTTGGAAGGGT